TGAAGGTTCATTGTGAGCATTTGCCCTGCAGCATTGATGCTTCTGCAAAGGATGGGACTCTCGGACGACTCGTGAATGATGATCACATAAGCCCCAACTGCAAAATGAAGAAAATTGCTCATGAGGGGAAACCACATCTGTGCCTGTTTGCTCTGAAGAAAATATCTCCAGGCGAGGAGATAACTTACAACTATGGGCAGTCCTCTTACGCTTGGCGATCAGCAGTAGGTTTATTTGGTTTGGTAGGATGTTGGATGGACTTCTTTGTTCTTTGTCCCTGTGTGTAAATTTCTAACCTCTGTTAATAACAGTATATGAGAATATATACAGGAAATTTTCTTTTTGACTTTGCTGTCTTCTTTTTATTTACAGGATCAAAACAAAGAACCACAAACCTCAGAAATGGAGACTGCAGCGTCTTCGACAGTGGATGAAAGAGTAGGTGTTGAACAAGATTTGTTTTAAACACCAGCACTGTAAATGTGACTGCAGACTCGGGATTCATCACTTTATGATGTCTGGTATTTACAAAAGGGTTAAAAGGGTTTAACTTCCCTAAGAGTCCATCGGTAATCTAGCAGCACAGTCTCTTCTGCTTATAACGACATCTGTGAATGAAAAAAAGCACTAAATACACAGTAGCAGTCATAATGCTGTTGATTCTGAGTCAAAATGCATTGTTTGCAATAAATGCATCCAGTGTTGTGGGTGGTGAAGTGTTACCCCCACCCAGGATAGCCACCAAACACAACAAATTAAAACAACAAAGCAAAACAACAAACAAGTGCTTCGCTGGAAGGGCAGCACAGCTACCCAGCTGAAACACACTTACTAAAGGGAGTTTGCTCAATTATAGTGAACACCATCACTCACCCACTTAAAAGCAATACAAAAAACTGGTATTCGATCTCCACTAAAATGTCCAAAGCTCCCGGATGAGCCCCCACTTATGTTACGACCCGGCTCAAAGCCGCAACATAAAAAAAGGAGACGAATACCAGAGTGTGGGTGAACAGAGGTTTTGTCTTAAAATGGAATATCAGGTCGGCTAAAATGGCTGGTGCCACCAAGGCAAAGACAAGTGAGCTCCCGGGAAGCTTGCCTCAGGTATGCTTTTATCCACACCTGACTAGGTGTGGCCAATTAGCACCAGCTGAACACACTGAGCAGATTAGAGTCTGCAGAGGGACGTAACAGAAGACAGGGAGTGATTTGATGCCTCTCTTTAATAACTATGATTCAAGTGTAAAGTTCTGTTGACGTTATTAAAAGCGTTTAAAATCCATCCAAACAGAATTTTAAGCCAAAATATGTCGGCCAAAAACGAGGGAGAACTCGCTCTGAACTAAACTAAGACAAACAGAGAGAACATGGGAGTCTGGACTATCAGCACGAGTGTTAAGTGGCTTGTTTATTGTAAAGAAAATCAGAGTGCAGCTAGATTTGTGTGTTGGGTGCATAAATTTGCCTTTTTCTTAATTAATTCTAGGTGGAAAACTCAGATGAGGAATTCAGTTCTGCAGAATGCTTCTCTGATGAAGATTACGTCATTGACAATGAACCAAGCAATGATGACAGTTTTACCGAAAACGATGACCAGGATCAGGAATTTGAAGAAAATGCAGATGACTCAAAGGCCGGTTCGTCCAAAGCGCCGAACGATATGTCGGACTCCGATGAGTCTGTCTCTGATGGAAAGTCTAAAGAAACTTCCTTCACTAACAGAAATTACTGTTACGTTTGTGGGAAACCTCAAACTAAAATTTCTCGTCACCTTTTCACGCATAGAAAGGAAGAACCTGAAATTGCTGAAGTGTACGCAATGCGCAGGAACAGCAAGGAACGCAAAAAGCGTCTGGATATGTTGCGAAACAAAGGAAACTTCAAACACAACCAAGGAGTCTTGAAGGCTCGCAGAGGAAAACTGAAAGTGGAAAGAAAATCGGAGATGTCCACACTTAAAACACTCGCCACTTGTGTATATTGTAAACGCATGTATCATCGTAAAGTGGTGTGGCATCATATGCAAAAGTGTCCCTCGATGGCATCCAATAAACTTCCAGAAGGCGTTCAGAGTCAAATCTTAACTTTGGTTGCCGCCACTGGACTAACGGACCCAGAACAGATCTCAACAGGTGTGAAGAAGATGTTGAAAAAAATGAAGAAAGACGATATTTCCTCTGTAGTTTGCGAAGATTCTTACATATTACAATTGGCGCAATGTTGCTACCACATGAGAGAGAAGAAACAGAATCAGGGATACGTCACTCAGAAGCTGAGGCAAATGGCACGGATCCTGATAACGTTAAGAAAGAAGTCGATAAACAGCTTCGAAGACGCAGTCAAGCCCCAAAACTTCAACGCCGTTGTAGAAGCTGTTCAGGAGATTGCGGGCATCAAAGAGGGGTCGAAGTCGTTTGACAAACCATCTCTCGTTTGGAAGCTTGGAAATTCGCTGAAGAAGATCGCTGACATTAAATACGCCAGGGCTTTGAAGGATGGTGATGAAGAGGTGTTAGAGGAAGCTGAGGCATTTATTAAGCTGTGTACGAAAGAATGGCCCTCCCATGCAAAATCACAACCAAAAACACCCTGCCAGCCAACCTTACAGTTTACACAAGATGTGATGCTGCTCTACAAGTGCCTGAACAGGACAACAGCTTCTGCAGTCCAGAGCCTGATGATGTATGCAGTAACACCGGTCTACAACGCGCTTCTCAAAGTGGTACTTGCATTCGTGTCCTTCTTAAACAAAAATATTCAGGACGTTTCAAGGGTGACACTCAAGTCATTCAAGGAAAGGGCTTCCACAGAGCTTCAGGAAGATGCTGCTGGTTCACAGACCCAGTTGGAGCAAATTCTGTCCAAGAACCAAGTAACGATCGGTGTTAGTAACTCAAATGGAAAAATATTTGCTCTTACTTTGACCCCTGAAGTGCTTTCTGCGCTAACGGTGCTTGTGGACAAGAGGGACACATGTGGAGTAGGTAAGGACAATCCCTTCTTATTTGGGAATCCTGGTGGCAAAGGGTCAGACTTTCACAAGGGACACGCGTGTATCAGGATGTTCGTTAATCGCTGTGGTGCAAAGAACCAGGAAGCTCTCAGGTCTCAGTGTTTTCGTAAGTACATAGTAAGAATTTTCCAGATTCTCAGCCTTAAAAATGACGAGCTCACTCAGCTAGCTAAGCTGTTGGGCCGTGACATTCAGACAGACTGGGAGTATTATCAGAC